CAGCGATGCACTGTCATGGGGAGAGTGACCACATCACTCTCCAGCCAGTGACCACCCAGCCCCTGCCGTCCAGGAGAAGCCCTTCCCTCAGCACCTCCCCTCTCATTTGCAGCCCCACTGCTGGGCCTGGGCCTGAGCATGGGCAGCAGGACAGACCCACTCTGGGGTGCTCCCCCAGAGCATGACTGTTCCTGGGGGCTCAGCAGCTACTACGGGATCAAGTCACATCGCGAGGACTTCTTTTATAAGTGGACAATGAGCAAGAGGATTTGTTCTGTGGCGCCTTGCAGAGCGGCACATCTATCCTGTGAGGGGCTGAAGGAAGTGGCGGGCAAGGAGCCCCAGTGTGGGTCAGGGTGGTCAGCTGGGAGCCTGCAGCAGGTGTGAGGCAAAGGGCACGTTTGTGCTTGCTGTGTGTGCCCCATGAGGCTTCTCATCCTCACGTGACTGGGTGGTAGACGTGAACATTAATCTGAGTACAGATGCCTTCCAGGACAGGCCTCGATATTTGGCGGGGGTTGGGGGGGGGAGGTTTGCTGTTGTTTTTTAAAGACAGGAATGTCCCTATTCTTTTTTTCTTTTTTTAAGATTTATTTATTTATTTATACAAGAACCGGGGTACAGGCCAGATCTGCAGGAGGGTGAGAGGATTCACCAGAGACAGAGCGGGGAACAGAACAGGCAGACTGACGAAATACACTGCTGAGGGGAGCCGCGGGCGAGACAGGAGAGGTCTGCCGCGCCATGTGGGACCCTCGCTGGCCGGCCAGAATCTAACCCACGCTGCAGAGGCTGCGGACAGCTTCACAGCGCAGCGCTCAACTGCCTGCTCCACCAGGGGGGCCCTATTGTTGTTTTTTTAATCAGAGCTGTTTAGGGTTGCTGCAGGGGCGATGTTAGGGTCAGGGACATTCTGGGGCCAGCGGGCACCAGTTCAGAGGAAGGGCCCTTCATACTCCATCCTTCCCAGAAAGCTGGGGCTGCTCCTGAGGAGGGCAGAGTTGGGGAAACTGAGTTAACGTGTCTAAACTGGGCTTTCATTGATTGTGTCGTCAACCTAAACTCAGTCATCCCAGAGTCCTGTATTTGAGATTGAGTGACTGAAAATTCAGCATCCATAACTCATCTTATTACCAAGACCTGACCCCCGGGCGTGACTGTGACAGCCTCCCCTGGCTCAGCTCTTCTTAAATATTGTTCCACACTTAAGCTCATCTAATTACTTTCTTTATTAAGAGCAGATAGTTAGAAAATAGCTTTTTAAAAGCAAAAACCATGTCTTTAAGTAAAATTGTCTCTTTCCCGAAGATGGATGTGCATCAATACAAAGAATAGTCTAATCTGGCATCTGTTTACTCCTGGAAGGAACCTTGATTTTGCTAATACATTTCTATGCATCAGAACGAAAAAAAAGCCATCCATAAAAAGACAATTACAGAGATGCAATCAAGCATTGATAGCAGTATTCAGACACATCTCAAAGAACATTCAGGAGAGGAAGGATTGCGGGTTTAGTTTTATGTAGCTTCTTATAAATCAATTTTTAAAGTAATTTCCTCACATCCAATGAGGTAAATTTGATTTCTGTAGCCAGTATTCATGTTCCAGAAAACAATATGCACTTTGTTCTATAATTATATGATGCCTATTGTTTTAGCCCAGAGACATTATGTTATTTATTACACTGTCGGGTTCTCCCTGGGGCCTAAGTCAAGAGCTGGTAATGAGTCAGTTGCAGAAAGTAGAACTCCAGAACCTACAGCCACCCCATGTGTCCTTGGGGAGCTGAGCCCACCCCCAGCACCTGAGTTTCCCCCAGGGGCTATGCCTATGCTTCCAGAGTGGTGAGGAAAACAGGCTGCCAGGTGAAATGACTTTGTTAGGGGTCCAGGCTGGGGTTCCAGGCTCAGGATTTCCCCTGTGCTCTGAGCTGAACGTTCTCCTGGTCAGCTCCTGAGGAACACAGCATGGAAGAGGTAGGGATGCAGGATGAGCCTAGAGACCAGTTCTCTGCCTTCCTACCTGATGCCTCATTTTGAACCTAGGACACTGGCAATATTGGGGAGGGTGAGAAGGTAAGAGGTGGGCGCCCCATTGCCAAACCCGCAGGCTGGGAACCAGAACATGGACCTTGCAGAGGGGTCAGGGCCTGGCACAGTCCACTTGGTGAAGACCTATTGAGGGCCCCGATGTGCCAGGCCCAGTGTCGGGGGCCTCTCACAGAGGAATGGGGAGACAGACACAAACGAGGCCAATATAACAAGCAGTGTGCTAAATGGTAGTGAGTGTGTGGAAGAGAGGATTAAACCAGGTGATATATGTTGTTTTTCTGTACACAATGGCTTGAGACTAAGCCGGTATCATTTCCTCATCCCCCTCTGTCACTGACCTGGGGGAACCTGAGCGTCAGACAGCCTGAGGGGTGCTGGTGGTCCCCCTGGCCAAACAAGCCCATCTAGGGGCAGCATGATGGGATACCGGAGCCCAAAACAAGCTTTGAGGGCCTCGCAGTGAGGAAGGGCTGTGTGGGTGAGGGCTCAGAAAGGCAATGTGGAGGACAAGGCTGGGGGCAACAACTGCAGGCTCCTTGAGTAAGCATTTGAGATCCAGTCGGTTCTGGGAAGGTGGAGGGACTCCCAAGGCAGGGACTGCACCCACCCTCCCAACCCACTTTCAAGATGTCCTCCCACCACCGAGACACCAGGGAAAATATATTTTCCTCCAGACTTAGGTTTTGACATAGGAACAGCTTAAACTAGAAATATGTCAGGCCTAGAATTGACTAACCATTAACTTTTCATAGGCAACTCAGGTATGAACCCTTTATGACTTTGTTATGACACTTGACAAATCAGTTGCCCCGTGTTTTATTTTTATTATTGAAGCTTCCACTGTGATAGGAATGGTTTTGGGTTTTGGGGTTATTTTGTTGTTGTTGTTGTTTTTTAAGCAGAACTATTTCAGAGAAAACACACACAGCCCCAGCAGCACTCTCCAATATTTTATTCCTCCGGGAGGATGCTGCCAGCTGGTTTTCCCCCATACTGGCCCACATGCCTGCACTGCCCACCTCCCGCCTCGGCCCGGGCCCCAGCCTCACTCTGGCTGAGCAAGGTGAGGGGCAGCGTGAAATGAAGGAGGACCAGCAGCTGGCCTGTGGCTGCCCTTGAACACCACTGTGCTGTGCTGACAGTGGCCTCTCCTCCCTCCTGCTGGCTGACCACTGCTGTGGAAGAAGGAAGCTCAGAAAGACAGGGTCACGGCAGGAGGAGCAGTTGGGGGGTCAAGAGGAGCTTTGCAGGTTCTGTTAATAATACAAGAAAAGCAGCCTCCCCCACCTAGGCCATGCTTCCCAGTTTAAAACACGGATTCAGTTATTCAGCAATCAAAAAAGATAAACTCATGCCATTCGCAGCAACGTGGATAGAGCTAGAAGGAATTATGCTCAGTGAAATAAGCCAGAAGGAAAAAGAAAAATATCGGATGGTTTCACTTATAGCAGGAATATAGGGGGACCAAATAAGACATCAGTGTAAAAAAATAATAACAGCATAAAACACAACAAAGCAAAAATGGACAATTATAAATCAGAGACATCCTGCAGGGGAGGAATAGGGAGCACAGAGGACTGAGGTGATGGTGCATGGGTGCATCGGTGAAGGAAACTATGGGTACTACACCTGACGGGGGTGGGGAGAAGCAAATATTGTTTAAAAATGAAAAATGCCTCAGCTCAGGCCTCGCTGAACAGCACCTGAGCAGGTGACAGGTTTGCTGTGGGTCTCGCCACCCATGTGTCACCAGGACTCCTGGGGACTGGGCAGAATGAACCCACCTGGTAACCACACCCACAAGCCAAGTGCTCTCTTGGGCCAGTCCCTGTGCTAATGCGTCCACGGACTCTCCCATCCTCACTGAGGAGCAGTGCCAGGGCTTAAGCGGAGGCCTAAGTCCCGAGTCTGGGCATGGGTCTTCACCAATCACTCCTGGCAGCCGGCACTCACCTCCGTTTCTCACCAGTAAGCCAGGACCACCTCTGGCCCTCAGCTCTGAGCACCACACCTCAGAGGGCTTCGGTAGCTAAAGGCAGACCTGATGATGGGCCTCCCTGAAACTGGCTCATTCTTTTCCTCAGCATGTCTGAGCTAGTGCCCAGCAGTGCCCAAGTGCTCATCAGGGGATCCTGATGAGCCAGAAGCCCCCTTTTGCGCCCCCAACCCCCCCAGGCACTGGACCGTGTGTGTGGGGCTGCAGAGGTCACAGGGACAAAGCTTCCGGAGCCATCTCTCACAGAGCCCCGGTGTCAGCCTTTCCTGGCCATCATTTACCTCTTAGCCCTTGGTTTTTGCCCCATTTTCCTCAGAGTTTGGTTCCCTTCTTGTGGGTTATCCAGATCTCTATAAGCTGCCTGAAATCATTTAGGGGTCAAGATGGAGTCTAACAGAGTGTTCAGTAAACTACAGGTTGAGGGTCAGCTCTGGCCCAACATCTTTTTTTTAATAAAATGTCACTGGAAAAGTGACACTTATAAATTTTTGTATTGTTGTGGCCATTTTCATGCTGTTAAGATGCTGACAGAAGTCGCATGGCCCACAAAGTGAGAAATATTTGCTATCTGGCCCTTTAAAAAAGGTTGCCCTCCGAAACAAGCCCCGCCCCCGCCTCAGGGGGGGGGGGCAGAATAAATTGAGGGCCAGGTGCGCCCACTTGCTGGAGATTGAGAGCTTGAGCATGAGGGCGCTGAGGACTGTCTTCCAGGCCTCCTCACAGAGAAGGCAAACAAGGCCTGTAAGGTCCCAACAAGGCCCTTGAGAGACACACGGGGCTTGGGGAACCCTGACCTGCACAGTCCAGCAAGCAGCCCTGGCTGCTCGAGGTGGGCAGAAGGAAGGGGAGTCTCCTGTGGCAGCCTCAGGGTTCCTGTTTCCAGGAGACATGGCTGCCCTTCCCAGCCCGCCGCCCAGAGAGGCCAACCTCGTTGTCTTCCTCACCCCATGCAGGACTTCGGAGAGGACGACTCCCTCTACATCACCAAGGTGACCACCATCCACATGGGCAATTACACCTGCCACGCCTCGGGCCACGAGGAACTGTTCCAGACCCACGTCCTGCAGGTGAATGGTTAGTAATGGCTCCGTGCATGTTGTCCCCTCAAAGCCTCCCCAGAATGCTGTTCAGAACACCCCCTCCTGTAGTCTGTGTCCTTCAGCGCCTGACCCCCAAGAACCCATCTCTCTCATCAGTCAAGGGGAACGGGGAGCAAAGGGCAGTCTGCCGACGGATGCCAGTACCTGGCTTCACCCGAAGCGTCTCAGGGGCCCAGGCTGAGTGCTCAGTACAAGACCCAGCAGCCACCCTAGAAGGTGGAGGGGGACGTGGCGTGCGGGTTCTGAGATCCGGAGGAGAAGCAAAAACTGTCTACATCCACCACTCCCCGCCCTGGCAGTGTGGGTGCTCATCCCCTTGGGAGGCGCTCTTGGTTCCCATGGGGGCTACTTCCCATCTCCCTCCCCAGGAGGCTCTATAAGCCTTGGCTTGGGCTAGAGCAGGGCTGGGGGGTTTGCTGTGGTACTCGGGGCGGGGTGGGGGGGGCTGTGTTCACAATCCTGGGGGGTTTGCTGTGGTTCTGGGGGGGCGAGGGGCCTGTGTTGTTCGCACTCCTGGGGACTGGGCAGATGAGCCCACCTGGTGACGACATCAGCAGTAGCCTGTGTTTTCAGAGCGTTCCCTTTGGCCAGTCCCGGCGCTAATGCATCTCATGGACATCCAGTGGGTGTATTTTAACACACTTTATGGATGTTTCTAAGTGAGGTCACTCGCCTGCGGCCACCCCTCTGGTAGATGGCAGTCTAGAACCTGCGGTCATGCTGGGCACCCACCCCAGCAACTCCAGCCATCAGCACTGTCTCCCCACCACACCCTGGGGGACAGACCATCCCCCCCCCCCCACCCCAGGGAATCAGGCTCGTCCAGCCAGGTCCATCACTGAGCAGGCCTGAGCAGGGTGCTCACGTGGTAGAGAAAATAGTGTCGAAGCTCCAAGTCAGCTGCAGACCCTTCGAGCCAGCTGCTGCTCGGGCCGCTGCTCTGAGGATAAAGTGAGCAAGGAGACAAGAGTGGTTACATCATGGGATTCAGTTGTGCTTACTGCTGGGATTTAGGGTGACAAGCTACTTAAGGACAACGGGGTGAGCTCAGCTTGCCTCTATATTTACCCTACAGCATGTTTTAGGGATTTTTATATTCATATGTGCCTAAGCCATATTTTATTAGTTTTTCCCTTGAGCTGGAACAGACTTAATCCTTTGTGGTTTCATAGATAATGCTTGTTGGCTTGAGTCCAGGCCTACATTGAAATCTCCGGATTTCACTGGAAATAATCCAAAGGTTGCTAGTTATCACACTCCCTGGGTGAGTCTGCAGAGGCTGCTCTGAGGTGCAGCCTCAGGCAGCGCCCGGCCTCTCCCCTAGCAGGGCCGCTCCAAGGACAGAGCTTGTGTGGCGCCCACAAAGAGAGCCGCCTCATTTAAAACCAGCTTGTGGGCCCAGCCTCTTACTATATGGGTAAATGATCACCAAATTACTGCACCTGGTTTGCTCCAGTTCCCTCAGGTCCTCAGAAGAGTCTGGAAAAGGGGGAAAAAATGTTCCCAGATCCTCAGTTAAGTCCATCTTGGGCCCCCACTTGCCAAGAATGGGGGCCACAAGGGCAGGACTTGAGCCTCCTCCCCTTTACTTCTTCCAGAGCAGACCTGGGAGGGAGGGGAGCCATGTGCCAGGAACCTAAGTACCTCACAGCTGGAAGTCTGTAAGACCTCAGGCTTCTGGAGCAGATCTGGCCTTCAGTTCCTAAATGTTAAGTGGAAAGACCATGGCACCAGGAGGCCCTTCAGCGTGTGTACCCCAGGATTCTGTCACTGGGCTTATCACATGGGTGAGCCAGCTCCTTACTTCCAGTTCTTAATCCAGGAAGCAGGCCCATGAACACCGTGGGGCCGCAAGGCTCGTGGGGAACAGACCCTTCCTGCCAGGTGGCAAGTAGACTGGCACCAACTGGGGAACCCCACGCTGGCCCTCCCACCCCCCAGCACTCAGTCACTTAGTCTCAATTGCAGAGGCTGCTCTTGGCCCCGGGGAAAGCCTAAACAAAGCAAAATCTTCCCTCTGAGATCCAAAGAGAGGCCACTTGTGATCCATTTCCTAATTGCTGAGAGATTTAAGACTTCTCTTCCAGCCAAAGTACTATCAATAGAATTGGAGGGAGCAGCTGGGGCCTCTGTGTCTGTGATTGGTTTTCTACCTCATTAAATAGGCTTTCTGCGCTCGGCTCCCACGGCTGCTGGGCTGGACCATTCAGTGGCCAAGCTCCAGGACCCCACGCAGTCCAGGGCTGGGCTGGCTCCCAGGCACTTGGGCGGGATTTGGGTCCACTAACCAGCTTCCTCTTGGGTGCCTCCCAAGGACACACAGCCATTGTCAGCCAACCTGGGAGCGAGACAGGAGGTTTTCAAAGTATTCTGGAAGTTAAGTTTCTCTGTTGGACTTCAAGGGGAAAAGAAATCATTATCTGTGTGGGAAGATGTTGAAAATAGAATGGTGTGAAAGACACAGTTATGGTAACATTTACTGAAAACCTACTGGGCGCTGAGCCTGTGTCACAGATGAAGACATGGGGCTCAGAACGGTGAAGTGATTTGCCCAGGCCTCCAGTCCTGTAGTGAGGAATTGCAGAGCAGACTTGACCCCAGCACCCAGAATCCTGAGCCCTGTACTGCCCCGCCCATAGGAAGCCCCATTGTGTTGTTGCTGATGGAGAATCCAAACGGAGGCATTAGGGGTGCTCGGGCAGCAGGTCAATGTTGAGCTGTTCTGGGCTGTACTCTCTGAGGGCAGGGCAGGAACTCTCTCTCGTTTCTCTGCCTCTAGTGCCCAGTGCCAGCCTGGTCAGACAGCTGGCCTGGTGATAAAGGCCTCGCCCCTGCCCTCCGCAGGACTGAAGTTGGTTGTCACAGGGCCTGGTGCCATGAGCTGAAGGTGGCGCACAGCAGATCACTGTGCACACCCCCCATGCTGCTCCACTTCCCGGCAGGGAGGACCCTGCAGAAGTTCCCCGGAGGCAATGGGCAAGCAGAACTATGTGGGCTGTGACTTAGAGCCTGAATGGGGTGGCTTTCAGGCAGGGGGACCTAGGAAAGCTGGGGACAAAAGGGAGCTCAGGATGGAAGCAGCCCTGCTTGCAAAGGAACCTCACCAGGAAGGAGTGTGAAGACAGAACACTCATCTGTGGGGCTTGTTCCTTTTTACTATCTACCCTAAGCCTGAGTCAAAAACTTAAAGGATGGCCCTGAGCCACTTGGGTGGAATTCGGTGCAGTGCTCAGCAGGGCTGCTTGCTGGTGGTCCACTTTGGCCCTGTCTTGGTCTGGCAGGAGGCCTGTGGCCTACTGAGCTCAGGCAGTGCCTTAGACATCCTGACCAGAACGATGTTCTGTGTCTGTATCTCCAGCCAGCTTCTCACTGAGAGGGAAGATAGGAAGGAGAGCATGAAGGGAAGAGAGGGCCCCATAGATAGACCAGGAGCTGGACCGAGGCACAGTACAGACCCTAGCTGGCAACACCTCTGTCAGAGGATTAACACATGAGCTAGACAGACCAGGGTTCACGTCTTAGAGCAAGTACTTCCTTGACATACAGTTTCAGGCAAGTAACGTCATCTGTGAAATGGGAATAACAATTATACCTCCCAATAAGACAAGTATGTATAAGATGCTTGGAAAATGCCTGGCAAAAATACACTTCAAGGTCCAAGGTGGGCAGCCATGGAGAGTTTGGTTTGTCTTCACCATATTTAACTGTAGTTGGTGGACATCATGTCAGAACTGGTGGCCCCAACCACTCGCTGGTGGGAAAAATCAAGACCCAAAGAAATTTGCTTATCGAGGAACGATGAGCTCATCTAGACTCCCTGGGGCTGTCCCCCTCCTGGTGGCTGGGGTGGGACCCCATGTGCTGCTGGGGACACTGTCTCCGCCTGACTCCACCTGACGTGGTTGGCTAAAGAGACCCTTTCCAGGCAACTTCTCCCTCTCCCAGATTATTAGTATAACTTCCCGATAGACTGGCCTCCCAGGGACAAGGCCCAAAGTCTGACATGATTTATAACATCGTGCCAGCCTCCAGCATTGCTTCATAGGAAGGAGCAAGAACTTCAGACGTAAATGATTAATCCATTAAATTAAAAACAGCCTCGACCTCCCCACAGTTCAGACAACTAGCGATTCATTCCCCAAAACACAATAATAATCTCCCGAATGTTTATTTTCCAACTTGGTTCTTTTGTGAATGTGCCTCTTCCTCAGGACATATCTGTGCTGCCTTTCACCGTGGAAATGATGGATGTTGCCCAAAGGGAGTAGCCCTTGTGTGACGTACCCAAATCTTTTCACCACGAGGTTTTGCACATTTAAAAGACAACGAACGTGTTTATCCAGGACATATTAATTTCAAATGATTTTCAGTATTCAAATTAACACAAAAGAGGAGGGGAGACCAGGGCCAAAGGAGACAGCTGGGTCTTTGCCTTGTTACTGGCAGAAGGGAGATGCTTTCTCAGACCCTCCCAAAAGAAAACAAACATTTTCTGACAAAACCTGGCCAAAGTTCTTCTCCGGCCCTCCCTGTCCCGGCAGAAGGGCAGACCCAGAGCCCAGGCTCCAGAAGTAATGCAGCTTCTACCAACGTGCAGGGATGTGGCTCAGCCAGTGCCTGTTCACCCAGGAGGAGCACAGCTGGGCGGCAGGTGGAGGGGGGGGCCTGTGGGTATGCTCCCACCCAGCCGAGGGGCAATGTTTCCCCTTTTTTTAATGCTTCCCTTTTTACAGCATCTTTATACCGTTTTCCCCTTGGTGGGACAAGGTCAGGGTGAGACAAGGTTTCAGTGGAGCCTCTTGGTGTCTCTGGATTTGCTGAAGGTGCCCAGCCAGGACAGCAGCATGGAAGGGGACCTGCTCACAGCTCAGGGTCCTTGGCGTCCTCATACTTCCACGCCCCACACAAAGGGCCCACCCCACACCCCTGCCCTCTGGCTGCCTCATTTTTGGAGTCAGATGTTAAGAGTCAGAA